ATTGAGTTAGTCTTAAAAGGGCAGATGTTACTTCCTTATTTTCTATAACGATTTTTCCAGTCTCACTAAGTTGGTTCCCAAGTCATGACTTGTCTGTTCCCCTCTCTAATTCCACTTCTTATTTATATCTTTTTCCTCATTCAGTTCATACAATCTTGCCAGTTTCTGCCCCTGCCATTTACTGTTCACTGATAGACTTGCTATTGTCAGCATCTGTTGTATCTCTTTTCTAAAAAATATGGAAAGAGATACTGTTGTATACCACAAAAAGCTGAGATCAGCTCTAACTCTGAAACTTCTGACATAGAGATGTACACTTTTATTTATTATAATAGTTTATTTTTACATCATTTCATGCCTTTTTCCAGCTCAGCTGTAATCCTGGTGGACTTCCCATCACCGAGTCACCTGTATGCCATCACCGTAGTCCCTGCACTTCCCCGCTCTCAGTTTTTATCCCATTCCCCACTCCACTCCTGTAAAATATCTCTGGTATATAGTTGTTCATTATTATTTTTACCCCCCTGGTCCTTTATGTTCCTGCTATGAGTGAAACCAGCCAGTATTTTTCTCTCTCTTTCTGGCTTATTTCATTAAACATGATCCCTTCCAGTTTTATCCATGTTGCTGCAAAAGGCAGGAGTTTATCTTTTTGATCACTGAGTAATATTCCATTGCATATATGTACCACATCTTTTTTACTTTTGGGCATTTGGGTTGAGTCCATATCTTTCCTATTGTAAGTAAAGCAGCAATAAACATGGGGGTGCAGGTGTCTTTTTTTGACTCAGTGTTTTTGTGTCTTTTGGGTAGATACCTAGGAATGGGATTGCTGGGTCATATGGAAGCTCCATTTTTAGCAGTTTGAGGAATTTCCAGTTTTCCATAGTGATTGTACTAGTTTGCATTCCCACCACATCCTCGCCAACATTTGTTGTTGCTAGTTGTTTTAAGATGTACCATTGTACTGGTGTGAGGTGGTAGAGATATACACTTTTATTTTAAGATTTAAAAAAAAATTATATTTATTTTAAAGATTTATTTATGCACACAGAACTGGGGTACAGGCCAGAGGTTGCAGGGGTGGTGAGAGGATTCACTAGAGACAGAGTGGGGAGCAGAACAGGCAGACTGACGAAGTACAGTGTTGAGGGGGAGCAGCTGGCAGGTCAGGAGAGGTCTGCTGCACCATGTGGATCACCTCCAGGGCAGGGATCGAACTCATGTTGTATTGGCTTTTAGCTTCTTAGTGCTGTGCTTTAACCTGCTGTGCCACCAGTGAGGGCCAGATTTATTTTTTATTTATTATACAAGAGCAGGGGTGTAGGCCAGAGGTGCAAGGGGTGGAACAGTCACCAGAGACAGAGTGGGGAATAGAACACGTGGATTGACTAAAATGCACTCCTGAGAGGAGCAACTGGTGAAACAGGAGAGGTCTGCTGTGCCTTGTGGGTTGGCGATTTGGTGGGGGATCGAATTGGTGATCCAGTGGTTGCAGAAAGCTGCATAGTGCTGAGACTTAACCCCTTGCACCACCAGTGAGGCCCCTATACTTTTATTTTAAAAGGATACTTTTCCAAGTGAAATTTGAATGGGTGTATTGCTCTCTGTCTTTGGCTGTGTGGAAAAACTTGACAGGTAAATTGGGGGTTTTGGTCATGGCTTCCTTTGCTCTAGGGAAGTTTTATAAGAAACTAATATAAAGACAGTACTTTTAGTAATGTAAATTTACTTTGTAAATTCAAACTTACAGCATGTACATATGTATTAAGTCAACTGGAATACCTTGAGTTTATTATATTCCATATAACACTGAAAATCAAAAGATTTTTTTTGGTTATGGATAAGAGTATCTTGAACAGTTTTTTCCTGTAACTTATTTTGCTTCATGGTGCCAAAAATCCTCATACCTTTAGAGAGATACAAATTTTAATAACATAACATAAACTCTGATTCTTACCTTTTAACTATGTCAAGAGCTAATATTTTGCCACACTTTTAATCTGTTTTCAAAGAAAACATTCAAATACAATTGAAATTCTCTGCTATATATAGGAACAACCTGAGTGTGTTCTTTCCCAAATGACATAGACAGTATAGTCTACAGTATTCTCTCCAAAATGACATAGACAGTATTTACATTATATATACTATATATACTACATGCAGAAATATACTCTATGTATTTTCTTAAAGATTTATTTATGCATAAAAGAACTGGGGTACATGCCAGAGGTGTGGTGGTGAGAGGATTCATCAGAGATAAAGTGATAAGCAGAACAGGTAGACAGACTGAAATACACTGCTGACGGGAGCAGCAGGCAGGTCAGGAGAGATCTACCATGCCATGTGTGTTACCTCCTTGGCTGGGGAGCAAACTATGGCTGCAGTTGCTTCAGCTAGTTTCATAGTGCTGTACTTTAACCCATTTCACCAGCAGGGAAGG